CGTGACCAAGACAAGAAGGCATCGCCCACTGCCCGCTGTATTTGGGACTGGAGAAAGGCGTAGGTGTCCTGGTCAATACGCACTTGGCCATGAACGAAAGCTTAACAACCCAAATCGGACGTTTGCGATTAAGAAGATGTGGCTCGACCCCAGCTCTAACCATCCTCGTTGCCTACGCACCAACATCAAGCTACGAAGAAGAGGACTTGGAGGCGTTCTATATGGATCTGGAGAGGCTCTACAGAGTGAAAGGTTGTTCGAGTTTATCATGTCGACCCACACCATCCATAATAACTGGCAATTCCAGAAGCCCTCTCATTTACGATGGACATGGGAGTCACCTGGTGTACAGTTCCATAATGAAATAGATCACATCATCTCCAATCGGAGGTTTTGCCTGACTGATGTCGCTGTTGTTCCAAAGTTCTACACGGGATCGGGCCACCTTCTCCTCCGCGCCAGATCCTGCTTCTCGATGAGTGGAGGAAGAGCTATGAAGTTTAGGAAACGAAGCCCAAAGTTATTATATTTATGCACGCGTGAATCCTCTCGACAAGGGCAGCATTTGTCCCAGCATTTGTTACAATCACAAGCTCCCGGCCCAGCAGCGTACCTGCAATGGATTCTTCCTCAGATGTTGTTAGCAGCATTTCCAGCAATCGAACCCATTCAGATTCAACTCCTTCTCGTCAGAAAAATTACTCCAATTCCCGAAATCGCTCTCCAACATCGAGGCCACCAGCAAAGATTTGCTATGGTTTCTTCCAACCTTGTTCCATTGGTGCCGCAGTTTTTAGGTTCTTTGAGATTGGAGCAGACAAAGCTGGAGCTCCTGCCGAGTTGCTTTTCTATCTGCCGATTGCTGAGTCCGGCAACGTGCGAAGGCGAGATCCTTGTTTTCTCCGAGACAGACGAAGACCATGCGACAATGGGGGAGGAGGATGTGAGATCGCGCATCATCCATCCAAATTTTTACATACACCTTGTCCGTCACTGAATGTCTGCTCGATGCAACACGATGCCACTTTTGTGAGCACATTTAATGAGAGTGAAGAGATGAAAAGTTCCACGTCACCCGCAGTAAACCTTTAATGCTAGAGCCGGGCGCGGGGACTGAAATACTCCCACCCTGGAGGACTACGCATGAGAAAAATCCATACTCTTACCTTTTCAAAAAAACATGAGCGTTATTGTTTTATTGCACAGCAGAACATTTGGTGTGTGCACAGGGTTAGCGTGGAGCAATGCAGACTGTTTTACGAGAGCTCCTCTTAAACTGACTAGCATGATTTCTTAGCTCGATGGTGTCTGAGGTTGGTTGAGCTCCCACAATATTTCTGCCAGGCCTAAAAAGGGATGAAAATCAGGTCAATTTGTATTCTGCTTTTCTTGCAAAATTACTCCAACATAAAAACAACTCTTTCTTAACTTTCATTTCTCTCGATATTCCTACGAAGTATCCTTGGCTCTACAAACTGATCTCTCTTTGAAAGAGATATTCATTGGTGAGAATTGAAGGAGGAGGAATAGTTAAGGATTAAGCAGCCAAACCCAGAAAATTCCGTTAAACCAACCAAATTATCTTTTATAAACCCTGGATGGAAGGTTTCTCCTCTCCGGACAATATTAAAGGCACCGTTCGCGATGATTCAATGGGCGGGTGTGTCGATGACGTGTCCGCCTCTAAGTGGTTGTCTTCGATTGAACTCAACATTACCTACTATTCAGTTAATCGAAGTATGTACCTTCAGATACCTATCCCTCACATACATTTTAGGCTAAAAACATCTTTTATCGCATTGCAGATGATCCTTGCGCGGAGCCGGATGTTTGCGGCAAAGGCACCTGTACCATCAACCCGAACACTGGTAGTGTACTGTGCATCTGTCCTGGATGTGACAGCGGAGACCATTGCGAATTTGGTATGTTCAGGACCTCTTTGGGTAAACAGGGAGAATGACAAGAAAATTGTAATGTCGTGAATGTATTTACTCAAAGGTCTTGCACACAACTCAACGCATTTTTTGATTTCGGCAATTTTATTCTGCGTGGTTTTCAATCAAGAAAATTATCACAAGCACGATTCACGACGTTCCAAATTTCTAATTGAAGAGGTAGAACTTTGGCAGCTGCGGAACCCTTTTTCTATTTCTACCTGAACAGCGACTTCCTGTTCTCGTGGACGAATCTTTATCCTCTGGAATAGGGGGTGTTCGAAAGGGTTGAGTTAGAAGCATAAACAGGATAAGCTTAAACTACCCAACCGAGTTCGGCAATTTTCTCGCTCAGCCTTTTCGATTCCCATTTGTTTTAGAGGATGATATTGTCTTGTGGGGTCAGTCATTGTAATGAAGGAGAGCAACATGTTCAATTCTCCTGCGCTCCGGCTGACTTTGTCTGGACATTCCTGTAGGTGGAAGGGTAGATATAAAAGATCAAAAGCTTCTTTCTTGCACTCGTGCCAAGGGTCGTTAATGGTAGTTTGACAGGCCAACACTACGAAACCATAAGGAATCATATTCCGAGTAACTCACAATTTATAGTACATGGCGCACTTTATAGAAATTTTGGAACGTAGCTACATAAGTGATAGAATAAAACCATACAGCGGAAGGATACGGCCTCAAACAAAACCAAAACGGTGTAGCAAAAATGAGTCTGAATCGAAAAAAATAAGACGAAAGAGAGCTGATATTGAGGCCGCGCGCGAAGGATTGTAGCAGAATGCAGGTAAGAATTACAGGAACAAAGGAACTAACAGTAGAATCATGCCAAAAGTAATAATCGCATAGCGATCGAGCAATATGAAGACCGCTAGGGCCGTAATAACGGCGAAACGAAGTTCGCGACAGTCGCGTGCGGCGAATCGATTACACATAACCGTTCCTGCTGCCCGTCTCCCTCCGAACAGCTCTACGAGTTTGATAAGTGCAGGAACATTCGAAGTGAGTTTGCAGAAGAGTCCCTTATACAAACCTTTCCAGAAGTGAACCCATGCGATTCGGCCACAGCGAAGAGAAAATGTCGTGTGGGTCAGAGTACTGCGCCAGGGACCTGCGTTGTAGACTATTCCATAACCGAATACTGCGCCTTTAAATGCAACTGTACCTATCCAATTGATGGAGTGTCAAACCAATGCGGTACAGGTGAGTTATACACTTTAATGAAAAATCTGAAATGGGTAGCGCGTCTACGATGTAATAAGAAACTGCAATCGAGTTTTCTTGAGGTATGTAGACTTCCGAAAACTTCCAAACTGTTTGAGAAGCAGTAGACAACTCTATCATCCTTTCTAGTGCAATAGAGAACTGAAGAATAGAAGAGTTCATGATGTTCCAGTTTAGTTCGTGGTAAAAGTGCAGTAAAACCATGCTTGCACTTTTGTCAGCCTATTTTTAATGAAGGTAATAATTATTTCTAATATTTTGTTCTACGGATCTCCTTCACTAAGGATTCTCTCTCACCGAGGGATCCCCAGCCGGTTAGTGACGAGGCTACGTAGGGCGTCCCCAGGTGGCGGATAGGGGAATTAATCGCCGACCAAAAGTCACTGGTACTCGCCCAGAGACGCAGGTGGATTCAGGGGGATGGTTTCCTTGATTCTGTTGTGCTGGGTCGATATACTCTCTGTTCCTCGCAGGCGATCCACGCATACGTGTGTGGAGAATCTGTGGGTGCAGTTGGTATCCTGCCCATCGACTCGGCCAAAAGCTTGCATTCGAGTGACTGGGAAATAACTGGGAGGCGATTCGGGGCCACCTCCAAAAACAAAGCCCCTTGTCCACTCAGGGATAGCCTGGCAAGCCCCCGGAGTCAATAGCCCCCACATCAGAGCCTGGCAAGCTGCACGTTGTGTATCTACACGCCAAAAACAGTAATAGAAATGGGCCTCATTCCCATGAACCTAAGGGAGCCCCCAATACGGCAGCGTTGGGCAGGACCGCTCGGGGGAGGCTGCTAAAATCTCACGGCCAAAACAGGCTGCTCAAAAGGAGAAGGACTAAAATGGCGATCTGTACTTTTAACGCACGGACACTTGCATCGGAAGCGTGTAGCGTGACCAAGACAAGAAGGCATCGCCCACTGCCCGCTGTATTTGGGACTGGAGAAAGGCGTAGGTGTCCTGGTCAATACGCACTTGGCCATGAACGAAAGCTTAACAACCCAAATCGGACGTTTGCGATTAAGAAGATGTGGCTCGACCCCAGCTCTAACCATCCTCGTTGCCTACGCACCAACATCAAGCTACGAAGAAGAGGACTTGGAGGCGTTCTATATGGATCTGGAGAGGCTCTACAGAGTGAAAGGTTGTTCGAGTTTATCATGTCGACCCACACCATCCATAATAACTGGCAATTCCAGAAGCCCTCTCATTTACGATGGACATGGGAGT